GTGAGTCCCTTTTATATAATAAGGGATCGCTCCTCAATACATGAATGATGGGCTAGAGTTGATGCTCTCTAATGATGGTGAAGGAGTCCCTTTTATAAAATAAGGGCTCGCTCCTTAGTACATAAGTGATGGGTGCTTTCTAATGAAAGTGGGGGAGTCCCTTTTATAAAATAAGGGCTCGCTCCTTAATACTTAAATATGGGCTAGAGTTGATGCTTTCTAATGATGGTGAGGGAGCCCATTTTATAGAATAAGGGCTCGTTCCTCAATACATGAATAATGGGCTAGAGTCCCCGAAGTATTTTTCATGAGGCCCAGTTGAGGCCTAATATATGGTACATAATGTAGTCCCCCAAGTCTTCGGTCAATAGAGTCTGTTGGCTGGAGACTTCAAATTGAATCCATGTATGGGCCGAAGTGGCAGTTGTTTGGAGGCGGTATTTGTATACCTTGCACTGAAGCTTTGTAGGTGAAGCTTTGCAAGTGAAGCTTTAAAGCTAGAGCTCTGTAAATGAAGCTTTCGAAGCTGGAGCTTTTGTAAATGAAGCTTTTGAAGCTAGAGCTCTGTAAATGAAGCTTTTGAAGCTGATTGACATGAGTGATGCTCATGAATGTTTATGTTGATTGACATGAGTGATGCTCATGGATGTTGTCATGAGTGATGCTCATGAATGTTAACATGAGTGATGCTCATGAATGTTGACATGAATGATGGTCATGAATGTTTATGTATGATTGTCATGAGTGATGCTCATGAATGTTTATGTATGAATGACATGAGTAATGCTCATGTATAATTTGGAGTACTGGGCGTACTTTTGATCATCTAGTTGGTGGCATGAAGGAGAGTGCGGGTTGTACATTTCATCACCTGGTTAGTGGCATGAATGGCTAGTTGCCAAATGATATTAGAGTACGGGTTGTACATTTCATTTCATCACCTAGTTGGTGGCATGAATGGCTAGTTGCCAAATGATATTAGAGTACGGGTTGTACATTTTATCACCTAGTTGGTGGTAATAGCGATAGGTTGCCGAATAATTTTGGAGTACTGGGCGTACTTTTGATCACCTGGTTGGTGGTAATAGCAGTAGGTTGCTGAATAATTGTGGAGTACTGGGCATACTTTTGATCACCTGGTTGGAGCTATTTTGGGCTTATGGGCCTTCGCCCACAACATGCCAGCCCATTTATTTTGGGCTTAGCCGTTTTTTTTTTTTTACCCATTGATGGGGTTTATACAGATGTCTCCGAAAGATACGAAAATTAAATTACATCATTAAAAAATAAGGAAAGTAAACCACATCAGTCTGGTGGGGTGTTTATTCCTTGCTTGTGCAATGCGGGTGTTTATTCCTTGCTTTCGTTTGTGTTTTTCTGCTGCACTCTCTTTGTCTCTTCATCTGGCAAACAGAAGGAATCATAATAATAGGAAGATCTTTTGCTTTTCTTCTTTTCTCTCCACTGTGTCTCTGTCTTTTGCTTTTGTGCCGCAGCTCACTTGATTGTTTTTCTTTCTGCTTTCTTCTTTTACTTTGCTTTGCTTTTGCTTTCCACTTTAATTATTCTGTTGCTGGTTCTTGGTGGAGAAAATAGAGGCGGTGGAAAAGCAGTCAAAGTCTTGGAGCAATTGGTCTGCCCGAAGAATACGACCGCACCGCCTCCACCTCATTGCTAAGTCTGCCCGAAACTTCTCTCATGAGGTAGCTCCGACAATCGCTCCCTATCGGTTTCCCACAACCATACTCCGTCCCTGACCGTTGTATCTCCTTCACCACATCCCTTGTCAAACTTCTAATCCTCGCCTTTAGAGAACTAGTCCTGCATAAGGTAGCTTGTAAAAGTTAGATCCATCGGGGAGAGGTGCTGTAAAATGCGACCTTCCACAGCTGCATATGCTTCACCATGAATTTGTACGATCTTTCCATGTTGTTTAACGGCCAACTTGTGTACTCTTTCCACACATCCTTCACAAATATTCTGTATTCATCGCCAAACTCCATGCGGAAGGCATCACGAATGGCCTTGGAGGAAGCGCTGTGGCCGCCGTCAGTGTCGTTCATGAGAATCAAGATGTTCTTGGTCCTTTCAGCTCCAATCTGCACGAGCTCCACCGTCTCTTCATCCTTGTAGTAATCGTCATCACTCTCGTCGTTCTCGCACGCCTTGTGTTGGTTGTGGCGGTGGTGTCTCTAACTACTATGGATGCTGCCGTTGTTCTTGAGGTAGCTGCTCAAGTAAGAATTCCCGCTAACCCTCTTAAACACCTTCTCTGTTATTGATTTTCTCGGTGACGCCACTGACATCATAATTAAATTACCAAAAAACCCACAAACATGGAAGGAGGAAGAGAGAGCTCGGTCTTGAACAACGCCAAGAGGCGGGATAGCTCGACAAGATAGATTGAGGGAGAAATAGATGAAGGAGGGCAAGGTGAAAATGGCGAAAGTCAAGAGAGATCCTTGTAAAGAGCACAACATCGGAGACGACGACGACGACGACTTGGATTGCTTTTGCTTGCCCACACTCATATGGGCTTGCTACTTTGCACTGGGGGCTCAGTGTCGAGGTACAGCTAAGGTATGTACACTTAGCTCTTTCGCTGCTTGCTTTGATTTGGAATTTTACAGCTTTATTATTTCTGGGTTTTTTTTTTTTTGAGAATGCAGACTACATGTAATTAGATCTTACCCATCCCCAACAGGATTCCCTCGGACACCATCACAGCGAGAGAGAGAGCTAAAGCTTAAGAAACAGTAGCAATTACAAAGATGGAGAAATCATATTAGATATTTGGATATTGGTAATGGGAAGGACCCAAACGTGTATGCTTCCAAGTGGCTGTGACTTTGGTGCTGCAGTGGTGCAATGGTATGATGATGACAGGTGTAGTAGTTAGATTCATGGTGCTACAGTGGTGTAGTAGTATGATGGGTTTTTCAGTGACTGTACAGGCGTTTAGTTCTTGGGTTTCTGCAGATTCACGGTGGAGGTGCAAAATTGAGAGAGAATCGACATAACTTTTCGTGTCGTTTCCCACAGATGGCGCCAAATGTTGATGCACAAAACCGGATGTCTTGGAACAAAGTAAATTCGACCGTGAATCTGCAAGAAATGTAAATAACACAAGATGTATCGTGGTTCACCCCAAGGTTTGGGCTACGTCCACACTGATTATGTATTTATCTAAGGGAGAGAGAGCTTTAAGAGGGGGTAGGGAGCCTTAAGAATTGGCCTCCTCTAATTGTGAGGGTGAGGGGTCCTTTTATAAAATAAGGACTCCTCACTTATTACATATTTGCCCCTTCCTTTATCACATAATTATATTTAAGTCCCCCGAGTATTTGTACGAGATCTAAATACAAGGCCCTAAATATGGTATAAACAAATGTGATTTGCTTATCTGAGTTATTAAAACTTGTTTATGTATGTTGATTGAGGATGCATACTTAGTTTGCATGCATAAACTTGATGCTAGAATATAAGGGAGTTTCACCTAATTGTTATGAACTTATATTCACAAGTAGTGGAAGTCACTAGTCATGATTGTGTTAAGTAAATCCTTGGCAGGAGTATCATGTTTTTCATAGTTACGAATGCGTCGTCAATGCTTATGGTTTTCAAGGAACTTAATGACCTTTGATATGTCTCTCTTTCTCATGCTTTTCATAGTTAGGGAACTTGATAAGGATAATTTGGTTATGATGTGTATCCCGTCCAATTCAATGATTTAAGGAAAATCTGATGGTTAATTTGTGATGTCACCGTTAACTTGGGGTGTTGTCATTCATAGTCTAAGGGAACAATACTGGAAATTGGTTTATATGCATATGTCATGTGTGGAAAAGGATCATCTGGCTAAGTTTTCACCATTTAAATCACCTAATTTACTTTGTTTTGCAATCTATTTAATTTAGTTAATTTTCGTCCAAATCAATCCCCCTTCTAATTAAGTGTCTTAGATTAGTTAGAAAATGTTTAAATCTGTCCAATTTAGTGTTTTGAGTCTTACTAGTCTTAAATTCGTCCAAATAGTCCCTAGAGTCTGTTTTGAGTCCTTTTAACTTAGTTTTGCTGTTTTGAGTAGTTTGAGTCAGTTTTAAGTCTTAAGTGTTAGTTTTGTGTTTTTGAGTCTAGTTAAGTGTTTCTAAGTCTAGTTTGGTATTTTTGAGTCATATTTGTGTAGATTAGCAGCCCTAGTTAATCCCTGGTCTAGAACAATCCCAACTTACATCTTTGCTACAATTGTCAACAATAGGGTTTAATTTGTGTGTCAAGTAATTTTCACATCAGTGGCTTGGTCTTCCTCTCCTTTCTCCCTAGCTATCATATTATTTCCATTTTGGTGTAAACTAGCTACACTGTTGAGACCTGCAAATTGCTACTTCCTGAGGCGTAGCTTTCCCAGGGCGGCCTTCCGCAAACGCTAAATTTGGTAACGCTTCATGGCTTTTGTGCGTTGGTCGTTTGTGCAGGCTGGGAAGGGAAAGTTAGCATTAAATGCCTAACTTGTTGGGCTTAACATGCATTTAATGCAAGAAACTAGTTTAATCCTAACCAAGGGGGTTGACTTGTTAGAGAAAGGGATAAACTAGGCTAGTTCTCTCTCAATGATGCCTGCATGAAATACAAAGGGTATGATATTGGATCTTTTGGCTCCCAAGCAGCCCAAAGTCTTCCATGACCCCAATTTCACGTAGGCCTGATAACCTTTCGTAACCATCTACACCACAATCCACTTGGCAAGCCCCGAATATGTGACTTGGGCTTAACATGAATTGTGGCTAAGGAAGCATGGCGTGAATATCCGACTTAAACATTGTAGCATGGTATGTTGGTAAATATATTCTTCGTCGATCCCGCGCCTTGGCATGTGTTTGGGCTTGAATATAGGCTTTGCATAATAATTGGGCTTTGAGACTTGGTTGAGTTGGAGTGTTACATTTTGGGGCCCTAACAGCTATAATCACCACCTCGACGGTTAGACGATAACTACATTAATTTAACACACATGTAGTATTGTATGTAATTTGTAGTCTTCACTCGTTTCATGTTGCCGGGAGAATCGTAGCTGACCGGTTCCCGCTTCCTACTCGGCTTCTGCACTTGCATATCGCAGAGAGAGCTCCATGGCTATGGCTGCCCTGCCTTCTCTCCAAAACCCCTATTTCCTATCCCTTAAACCTCTCTCACAACTCTCCACCTCCGTCCTCCCCGACCAAGCCCGCTTCTTTTCTTCGTTTTCTACCTTCTCTCGGCCTCCACGACGTCGTCTCAGGCTCACAACCAAACCCATTGCTGCCTCTATTAAGGTAAATTTATATATCCTCTGTCTTTCAGTGTACTTTTTGCTTTTACTCAATTGCCCATCATCTGTTTGATGAAATGCGTGAATGGGTTGTTCTTTGATTTAGGAAAACTTGGGTCTTATAAGGAAAACTTGGAGTGATGTAACTAGTTTGAACAACTGGGTTGTTCGGGACTACTACCGCCTTGTGAAGTCTGTAAATGCGCTCGAGCCTCAAGTACAGAGTCTCTCTGATGACCAGGTTTGGTGGTTTCGTTCTATTTGATTGTTTGTGGTATTGGATTTCTTTTGGCTTTTTGAAAACTGGGTTGTCTTTGTTTCTTGTAGCTTACTGCTAAAACTGCAGAGTTCCGGCAAAGGCTGGGAAAGGGGGAGACACTTGCTGATATCCAAGCTGGTTCCCAATCTTCTCTGCTTACTAGAAGATTGTCCATTATTTTAATTGGATTCTAAACTTTTGGAGTAATTCTGTTTCTTGAATTATAATGTTTACAGAGGCTTTTGCTGTTGTTCGTGAAGCTGCAAAAAGGAAGCTTGGTATGCGTCATTTCGATGTGCAGGTTTCCTATTTCTCGCTCTCATTACGTTCATGATTACATTTGCGGTTGTACATATAGTTTCTACATATGTAATTTATGTGTAAATTGTCAACTTAATATTTTTGTTTGTTTATATATGTTGTCAATGTTAACACCAGATTATTGGTGGGGCGGTGCTTCATGATGGGTCCATTGCAGAAATGAAAACAGGAGAGGGAAAAACGTTGGTTTCCACCTTGGCGGCATATCTTAATGCCCTGACAGGTGAAGGCGTTCATGGTATGTTTTCTGTGTTGGATCTTATAGAAGAATTTTATTTGTTTGCAAGTGTAGTTGTACAATGGGTGGAATGCCCAATTGTTTGTACCTTTCCTTATCGTGTACATTTGTCAAAATTTAATTCCATAATTTGCTCTCTGTTGAAACAGTGGTAACCGTAAACGATTACCTTGCACAACGAGATGCTGACTGGATGGGTCGTGTTCATCGCTTCTTAGGCCTTACTGTGGGTCTTGTTCAGGTAATTTCCTCTCCATGTGAATTTGCATGCAATAGACTTGATTCCTAATTATGAGACATGGCGGCCTGCAGTTGTTTAACTTGGATACACTTCAATTTATTTATGTATATAATTCAATGTTTATTTAAGTTCCTATTTGCAATGTAGAGGGGGATGACAGCTGAAGAGAGGAGGTCCAACTATAGCTGTGACATAACATACACTAATAACTCAGTAAGTCATTTCTACTGCTTGTTGGTTGTATTTGCGTTACTCTTTGTGGTAGTTGCATAGAAACCTTTTGTTTTGCTTTCTAATGTTTGCTAGCCATGGTGTAGATATTACTAGTTAGTTTGTTCCCACCAAAACAAAAGAAGAAGAAAATTTCTGTCTTCCTGATAGCTCATTCATAATGATTCACTCAGGAACTTGGTTTTGACTATCTACGAGATAACCTTGCTGGAAACAGTGGACAGCTTGTTATGAAATGGTACATCTCAAATAATTTTAGTTCATACATGTTTTTTTATTTCTTTCTAATGTCAGCAGTTTTACTTTGTAAAAACAGGCCAAAGCCATTTCATTTTGCAATAGTTGATGAAGTTGACTCAGTTCTTATTGACGAAGGACGAAATCCATTGCTAATTAGTGGGGAGGTAAATTTTTGTAAGGTTTCCATTTTTTATTTTTATGTTATAATTTGAATGCTAATTTTCTTTTCTTTTAATAGTAGCTTAATCTGGTATGGTAATGTGTAATTTTATTTGTAAAAATATCTCTTTGTTGTACACATTGATTATTAAATTTTGTCCTTCTCAGGCTAGTAAAGATGCTGCACGCTATCCTGTGGCTGCTAAAGTGGCAGATTTGCTTGTGCGAGGAATTGTGAGACTAGTCTTTCCTATTATTTTCAGATGAACTTTCTGCAGCTATTCATTTGTTTTCCCATGCATATATATATATATATAGGAATAGGAGGGAGAACTTCTGAAGGGGATCTTGCTCCACTGTCATAGAGCGGGATACTCTATATGTCGTCAATGTGTCATCCTTAATTCTGTATTATTGATATCATGTCGATAGGGTATTGATAAGTTGAGAATAACTTTTATGTTTCATAATCATCAACATTACAGCATTACAATGTAGAACTTAAAGATAATTCAGTTGAGTTGACTGAAGAAGGAATAGCTCTTGCTGAGATGGCCCTTGAAACAAATGACTTGTGGGATGAAAATGATCCTTGGGCTAGGTAATGATCAAACTCAACCGTTCTTATACAAATTAAGCCCTGTGCTCCATGTTTACACATAATACACCATGAGAGTGATAAGCACATAATAGACCTTCTCTGTTAAATTATCACAATTGTTTGACCTACCATCAGCAATTATTATAGCAAGTACTGAAGTTTAAAATGTGGTCAATAGACAATCAATCAACTTATTTTTTTTAGCATTGAAATTTGAAATATGTAGATTTGTGATGAATGCGTTGAAGGCTAAAGAGTTCTATCGTCAAGGTGTGCAATACATTGTCAGAAATGGGAAGGCTCTCATAATAAATGAGGTATGATTTATATTTTTATTAGGCAGACTATTATATACGAAAGATAAACTGTGGTATGCATCATAATTTTAGGTACCCTAAATGAATTAGGGAAAGACCAATTCAACATTTCTCTTTCCTCAATTGATAAGTGGATTATACCAAATTCCATTTTTATAAATTTTGAGTTGTCTTTGATCTAATCATTGAGTGGCTTATATTGACGACGGACGGAATAGAATCATTGAAATAAATGTGGATCAAAAATTCATTGATGGTGCACTTTATAAACAAGTAGAAATTAAGTGACTCATTAGAAACTCAAAGTTCTTAAAATATTTACAGCTGACTGGCAGAGTTGAGGAGAAGAGAAGGTGGTCTGAGGGGATTCATCAGGCTGTGGAAGCTAAAGAAGGCTTGAAGATTCAGGTACATCCAAACGTTTGGCAACTAGTACCTGAAGTATCTTTTTTTTTTTTTTTTTTTTTTTTCACTGCAATTCATTACATGATGTATATACCATCCTAGTTCAAAGTTGTAATATCAATGTACTTGTTAGGCTGATTCGGTTGTTGTGGCACAAATCACTTATCAATCTTTATTCAAGCTCTACCCAAAACTGTCAGGAATGACTGGAACTGCAAAAACAGAAGTATGTCTGTTTACAAGCATTCTGATGTATTTTTCAAAGTAAATTTTTTGCATAACTTGTATTCATAATTGCATATTCATGTAAATCTACCCTTTAATAATTTCAGGAGAAAGAGTTCTTGAAGATGTTTCAAGTGCCAGTCATTGAAATGCCAACAAATCTTCCAAACATTCGTAATGATTTACCAATTCAAGCTTTTGCGGTAGGATATTTAATGCTCACCCTCAAGTATATCTGATGTCTATAAATTCTATACCTCGAAATTCCAATAAACTCTATCGTCAACTTGACAGAAGGTTTCGGTTTGTATTATTTTAGACTGCTCAAGGAAAGTGGGAATATGTTCGACAAGAAGTGGAGTACATGTTCAGACAGGGGCGACCTGTTTTGGTTGGAACTACCAGGTAAATCTAATTTAATGTGTTTAAATTCTTGCATCTGGTTCTGTGAATATAGAGCGGCTGCCATGTTATAACCTTCTTATGTGCCAGTGACTCAGCAATCTTATGCATGTTAAACTTTAGAAGTTTTGTACTTTGTGACCAAGAGGAGTTTGCATTATATCATTGATAGTCAAGCATTTTTTGGTACCTTTTATATCATTCCTGATGCTGAATTACATATCTGTTTCGCCTTTTATAATTTTCCCGGCCGTGTATGTTAGTTACTTGGGTAATGGTGGAGAGTTGAATCAGAAATATATAGGAATTCGTGATTCAGATAAAGCTGCTGAAACTTTTTCAGTCTCTATTTCAAACTTTGTCATCATGGTTATATCTGTGGAGGCATGTTGTTTCATGTGCTTTTGTAAGAATTCTAATGGTATTTGGACTGAATGGCATATCGTTGATCCAAATTACTTGTTTATTGGATTAAAGTTAAACTAAATCATATTTACACTGGATAAGTTTATGCATGAGGAGGGGATACTAGTATTTGGTCGACTTCATGTCTTGAGTATGCAGAGGTCAGCAGATTTATAACTATGATCTCTCATTTTAATAATGCAGTGTTGAGAATTCCGAGTACTTGTCTGATCTGCTGAGGGAACAGAATATCCCCCACAATATTCTAAATGCACGGCCTAAGGTTTATTGAAATTTAACTTGATTGGAGCTTTCACATGGCGGTCTATCAATTTTTTTTTTAACTATAATACTCAATTGACAGTTTGGTTTTACATTGCCGTTGTGTTTATGCACTTCTCTCATCAGTATGCTGCAAGGGAGGCTGAAATTGTTGCCCAAGCAGGAAGAAAATATGCCATTACCATTTCTACCAATATGGCTGGCAGAGGCACTGACATAATTCTAGGAGGAAATCCAAAAGTAAGTGCCTTTTTCCTTGTTAATTTATTCTAAATGAACCTACACATGATTTTCAGGAATCCATTCGAACATGTACTTCATGCATATGCATCTATCCTTTACTCTAATGCATCTTTGTCTGGACTCAGTGTGGATAAGTAGAAACTAAACAGTGGTTTAATTCCTTTTGTACTTGCAATGACTGAAGATGCTTGCAAAAGAGATCATAGAAGACAGTTTAATTTCGTTCCTGACACGAGAAGCTCCAAATGTTGATGTTGATGGAGAGGCAATTTCACAAAAGGTGATTCATTGTTGATCCTTTAAGCTGCATGCCAATTTGAATCTGTTTCTAATTAATCATTTGTTGTAGGTATTGTCCAAGATAAAGGTCGGTCCATCATCATTAGCTTTTCTTGCTAAGACAGCACTAATGGGTTTGTGACTCTCACTAAAAATATTTTATGCTTGTACAATGCACATTAGTCATCAATCTATAATCATAATCTTTTAGAGCCTGTTTGGTATCATTCTTGGATCCATTTTTTTTGTTTTTGAAACCATTGGGTATTAAGTAATTAGTTAGTTTCATCTTCTTTGAAAAGTATAAACTAGTTTCCAATTAAAATCCAAACAACCGCTTAATATTCTCTTATGCATCGTGTAGCCAAGTATGTTTGCAAAAATGAAGGCAAGAGCTGGACATATAAGGAGGCAAAATCTATGATATCAGAGTCAGTGGAAATGAGTCAGTCAAAAGATTTGAAAGATTTAGAGACGCTTGTTGATGAACAGTCAGAGATGTACCCTCTTGGCCCTACAATTGCACTTGCTTATCTATCTGTTCTGAAGGATTGCGAGGTACACTGTTTCAAAGAAGGGTCTGAAGTAAAAAATCTTGGGGGTCTTCATGTGATAGGAACATCTTTGCATGAGTCACGGAGAATAGATAACCAGGTGATTGTTTTTGGCATACATTTTGGAGTCATATTTATTTACCATTTGGCTATGAAGAATGGACTCATGCATGAGCTAAATATAGTTTGATGTGGTCATCCAATTCCATTTTGGGAACTGTCAAGAGTTTTCTTTATATATTGGTTGTTTCTTTCGTTTGACAGTTTTTATTTTGATTATCGTGATAAATTTTTTTGTTTACTACATTAGCTTCGTGGAAGAGCTGGAAGGCAAGGTGATCCTGGATCCACACGATTTATGGTGAGGTAATTCACTCTTCAGCGGCTTAGGCTTACATGGATTCGGTATTGATATGGTCACACAAAGACATGATTTGTGGTGGGTCTATAGCATCTGTGGTCTGTGGTCTGTTCATGTTTATTGATATTATCTTGTAATAAAACCTCACCAAGTTATCATAGCTCACTTCTGCTCGGTCAACATTGCTTCATCTTAATCAATGTAATGGCCAGTCAGACTGGTTTATTGATCATGATTTCAGTCATCTTTATTGTTGGTTCACACTGGACCATGCAACCTTCTGTTCCAACTGGTGGTTTTTGCAAGTCTAAGAGCTGGCCCACATTGATCTTGAACTGCGCATGTTTTCTTGACTGTAAAACTCATGGTTTCATTATTCCATACCTTATTATTTGTTCATTTATGTAATAGCTTGCAGGATGAGATGTTTCAAAAGTTTAATTTTGACACTGAGTGGGCTGTGAGACTTATTTCCAAAATTACAAATGATGAGGATATGCCAATTGAAGGTGGTGCAATTGTTAAACAGGTAATTCATGATCTCATGTCAATGATGTTCTTATCCGTTTCTCTGATATTTTAAGTGTGCTTGGCGAGCTCTCAGTTAATCATCTCACACATTATTGTTCACTCTCTCTTGTTTCTAAAAGTATCTGCTTAATACTTGTGAATTTTAGCTACTGGCCCTGCAAGTTAATGCAGAGAAGTACTTCTTTGGCATAAGGAAGAGCCTTGTTGAGTTTGATGAAGTATTAGAGGTATGCATTTATGAATAACAATGTCTTTATTGGAGTAGTAACTACTGCACTATTTACAAACACTGAGCAAACTTGTTCTTAATCACATTGATTTATTCAGTTTTGAACTTTCGTCACTGGAGAGCAGTATAATAAACTTTGTAATCCCTAAATTTCCATGACGAGTAACCATTGGACACTGTATCCCTTTTCTATGATTTAAGTACTAAATCAGGTATATTGTTATCATTAGTTAGCAAACTTTAAGTGATGCATCGTGCAGGTAAGTTACTTGCATAAATTCAAAACTGGAAAATAGGAAAAAAGGGTCCTTCTTAATTGCATGTCAAGCTTAAATGATGATGACCCTTGCTTACTTGTGTTGTGAGTATCGCGTTTAAGAATGGGAAAAACATGACAACTTGGAAATCGAAAACAAAATAACCAAGATAAATAACACAAAGCATTAATGTGGTTTGGCTATATGTGCCTACGTCCACGGGGTAGTACAACAATCTTTCACTATATCAATAATGAGTACAACGGATAATCTTGCCAAGCCTTTAGGATTAAGACTTGACGAAAAACCTGAAAGAACAAGAACAAGAAATACACTCTACTCATATCTCTTTCTTTTCTCTCGCACACAATTTGCCCTTACAATATTCTTTCACTCTAACTCCTTGAGTAGTATACAATTTATTGTTTTTCTTGCAATAGCCTCCTAATATAGACAAGGTCTTATTCAATAAGGATTACTAATCCTAATTGGAATCTAGTTATGAATTCTTCTCGAATTGAGAAACCAACTCCAGTTGGGAAAACAACTCCAATTAGGTAAACAATTTAAACTGGGTAAACAATTTAAATTGGGTAGACAACTTCAATTGGGTAAACAACTCCAATTGGGAAAACAACTTCAATTGGGTAAACAATTTAATCCTCTAAGACTATATAATTCCTAATAGACTTGGGACAACTCATCATGGGCTGGAAAAACCCAACATCTTGTTCGTTAAATTGTGTTGTTCCCTTTTTCCAGGTGCAGAGAAAGCATGTCTATGAACTTAGACAGTCCATTTTAACGGGTGATGATGAAAGTTGTTCCCAGAACATTTACCAGTAAGTTTCTGAGTCCGACACTCAAGGTACTCATTTTACAGTAGCATGCTTGTTTGAAGTTACATCCTTTAGCCGTTACACAATACTTGGATATTGTTAGTGAATGTGTGTTTCAGAGAAGGAACAAAAGAAAAAGGGTTCACCGGGTTATAGAAAGATTGGTGATAACTTGTAATTTAATTTTCAGACCTCTTTCTTTTAGAATTCTTGATATGTAAAATTAGAATAGAGTGCCCAGAATGCATAACTGAGTCATTATCTACCTGGAAGTAGCTTATATAATTGAAAACTATTTTAGTGTGAGACTCTGAAGCGTCGGAAAACTTAAGCTTGCCGAGTGTGACAACATTCAGTATTCGTGTTCTGAAAAGTGTACAAGTGGCAGATAAAGCATGCAATTGTATTGCTAATTGTTGCTACTTCTCTTTCTTGGCCTGTTTCATATTTTATACCACTCTGCTTGATTTGTTAAAATCTAGCTGGGTTCCACTTTCTTGTTTTTACTAATTTCTCCCATTTAATTTAATGTCCAAATGATTATAATTTAATATTTTACAAGTTTCGAATTTTTGCAGCATTTTTGTTGTTAATTAACTCATTGAAAGTCGTTAATAGGTACATGCAGGCAGTGGTAGATGAAATTGTCTTTGGAAACGTTGATGCACTGAAGGTAGTATGGAATTTCCAATTGGTTGTTGTATACTTCTATCCCCTAATTCGTCTTACTGATTCCCTACTGCTTAATAGCATCCAAGAAATTGGAATTTGGGGAAGCTTTTGAAGGAGTTTATGACAATTTCTGGGAAACTACTGGATGGTAAGCTGATACATTTGTATCCTTTTCCTGCATTTCCTTGTTTGTTTAACATGAATCCTCATGGCATGAAGCTTCTCCAGATTCATTTACAGGCATTACAGAGGAAGTTTTACTAAAATCTCTAGCAGACTCACATGAACTAAACTCTAGAAATATTCATGACGTTCACCTTCCAAACTTGCCAAGACCTCCAAATGCCTTCAGAGGAATCCGCAAGAAGAGCTCTTCATTGAAACGCTGGCTTGCTATATGCTCTGATGATATGACTAAGTGAGTGAACTCTCTGCTTGTGTGCACGCGCTCCCGTCCCTCACACATACCCATAATTTGGAATGCTTCGTTTATTTTGTATCATTTCTGTTGTTTCTGTTTTCCTTTTAACAATATTATGAGTTTTATCATTCCCTGATATGTTTACTTTAGGAATGGACGGTACCATGCTACTACTAGCCTCCTCCGCAAATACCTTGGAGATCTTTTAATTGCTTCATACTTGGATGTTATTCAAGAATCTGGTTATGATGATGGACATGTGAAGGAAGTGGAAGTAAGAATCTTCTCTTCAACCATTCATTATTACTTTTTATATCTATGGTAGTTGGTGAAGGGAAGTGATTTTCACACCCTTTTTAGCCTCTTAATCACCCTTGTTTAATCATATTTGTTGATTCCGTTTGACTTATTCAATATGATGCCCCATAAATAAAGATGGGTGTTTGAGAAGCTAAACGGGTGTGAAATCACTTCCCTTGATGAATGCTAACGTTGATTTATTAGCTTATCATTATTATTGCGTTCGAGAAGAAAAAGATTTCCAGCACTCTCTCAAAGATTTCCAGCACTCTTAAGTTGGAATTTGTGTTGCTATATGGTTAACGTAAATATGATGCATGCTTAATGGTTGTAAACAAATGGGTTTGAGTTTGCCCTAAAATAGTAGTATTTTTTCCTTCGATGAGAAGATTTGTGTAAAAATTCCAGATTTGCTTACATATTATCTTACCAGAAGTTTATCTGTTTTTATAATTTTTGTTTTAACAGTTAATTTCCTTTCTTGACTAAAATTTTGATCTGAAAACAGAGAGCAGTTATTGTGAAAACCCTTGATTGTTTCTGGAGGGATCATCTCGTAAACATGAACAGGCTTAGCTCAGCGGTATTCTTTAATCTTTTGTGGATTTAAATCTCAATTAGCTTGGGCATAGTCATGGGCTTACATGGAATATCTGGCAGGTAAACGTAAGGAGTTTCGGGCACAGGAATCCTCTTGAAGAATACAAAATTGATGGTTGTCGATTTTTCATATCTATGCTTAGTGCAACACGAAGGTTGACTGTAGAATCTCTTGTGCAATATTGGTCATCCTCAATGGAGTCCCAAGAAATTTTTGTATCATAAATCTGGGTTTATTGATGATGTGAAATATTCTAACACTCAAATTAAAACCCTATGATAGTAGTATATGTAAGTAGGGATCGTTCTAGGCCGGGGATTAGAAGAGCTGCTGATCTACACAAATTAAACTCTAAAACACTAAATTAGACTCAAAAACACAAAACTAGACACTTAAGACTTAAAACTGACTCAAATTAGGGAGTTAATTGGACGAATTTCAGACTACTAAGGCTCAAAACACTAAATTGGACATATTTGAACACTTTTCTAACTAATCTAACACACTTAATTAAAGGGGGGTTGATTTGGACGAAATTAATCAAACTAGACAGATAGCAAAACAAAGTAAACTAGATATGAAATTAGGTGAATTAAAGGGTGAAAAACTAGTTAGAGGGTCCTTCTCCACACATAAACATATGCAACATAAAATCGATTTCCAGTATTGTTTCTTTAAACCGTGATTGACAATACTCCAAATTAATCGTGAATACACTAATTAACTCTCAGATTTCCTTAAATTCATTGAATTGAATGGACAACGCATCGCAACCAAATTATTCTTCTCAATTTCCCTATATGAACAGCATGATAGAGATACATTCAAAAATCATTAAGTTCCATGGAAATCATAAGCATTGAAAAGGCTATCGTAACTATGAATTACATGATACTCCAGCTAAGAATCTACTTAACACGATTGTGACTAGCAATCTTCACTACTTTTAATTATAAGTTCCTAACGATTAGGTGAAAGTCCCTTATAATTTAGCATCAGATTCATGTATGCAAACTAAGTGTCCACCCTTAATCAACAAACAAGAATAAGTTCTCAATCAAATAGATAAGTAAATCACATTCATGTTTTACAAAACAATAACTGAAGGTAATCAATTCATATTAAACATATGTCCCATGGCTTCGAATTCACCTCTAACTAATAAGAAAATTAGTTACACATGTTCATAACAATTGAAAAGCAATATGAAATAAACATTGAAACTAAAACGAGGGAAGAAAGAACTCTTAGAACTCCCAAGGATGCAGGTGGCTTGCGCACAAGGTTCTTGCTCCAATGGAAGGCACGGCAAGGGCTCATTCTTCTCCAGAATTGAAGCAAAAGGTTGTGGAATGGTGTCGATTGTGGCTGAGAGGGTTTTAGAATTATATGGGAGAGGGGGGGTTGGTCAAATTTGTGGCTAAAATTATATATTTATAGGTTAGGGTTTGGCCGAATTTCTGGAGGAAAAGGCTTAGGGTTTTCGCACAAGGGTTAGCCCAATCCAAGGGGGGAAATAACTAGGGTTTCTGGCAGATTTGTAGGGTTTCTAGAAGGGTTTGGGGCGCCACTTTTGTAGGGCTTCTAGAAAGAGTGTGTTGTGGCTGATTTCTGACCTTCTAGAAGAGTTTGGGGCGCCACCTTTCTGGGGCTTCTAGAAAGGTGGGTGCATCACATGTATAAGAGAAGATATAGGCCGTTTAGAAGGGTTTTAGGTCCCCTTGCAGCTTATTACTCATCTTCCAAGTCTTGAATTAATTTCTCCATCTCATTAGCACATTCCTTGCTTCATTTGATCTTCAAAAACATCCATTCCTTGTGCTCCACATGCATGCAATCCATTCCAGCCCAAAATTGCTTTAAAATGCTTCAAAATGCACTTTCTTGCTAACTTTGCCAATTAGACCTACAAACAAACAAAAATAGCTTAAATCACTATAATAAACACACACTAAATATGAAAATGCAAGAAAACAAACTAAATAAATCGCATAAATTTGCTCCTATAAATTCCCCCACACTTAGCTTTTGCTAGTCCTCGAGCAAAACAAAGGAAACAAAACCTACACCTTCCAACGTTTGCCTCAGGGATTTCCAATGAAACATGACATATTAAAAATCACTACTCACATAGATTTTAGTTATCCTTACCCTCGAGCACACACTTAATCACAAGCACCACTTACTAGCTCGCATCTAATCAATTTAAAACATGGTTTTGATGGTAGTAACACGCCTTAGAGAATTCCCTCAATTCCTCACCGGATATACACTCTATTTTCACACAGATTTTCTAACTACACTCCCTATACTAGGTATATGTGAGAAGATTGATGTAAACATGTAGACTAGCCATTCACATATATTTTAAACAAAGAAAGCACTTTCTGGAATTATTAATGCATGTATATAGATATGATCTCATGAATGGAATGCCACTACTTAGACGCGAGAACCATGGATACCATATGCTCATACCAATCCCAAACTCCACATATTGAAACACATAACAACCAAGATAAGAGTCTAAGGGTTGTAATGGCGCTAAAGGTATTGGCTAACAAAGAAAGGTAAGGATAAACAAAGGTTCTTAAAGCAATAGTAAGCAAAGTAATGAAATCAACTTAGAATTCACTCTTGAATGCAGCAAATAACTTGAAACACTAAAGGGATTTTGTACAACTTAGAGCCGTATTCAAACTTTTTGGACCCTTTCTTCAACAACCAATACTTGTGAGTTCTTTCTCACTTATTTCACAACTTTTTTCTCTTTCTTTTTCTTCTTCTTTTTCCACGTTTTTTTTTCTTTTTTGTTTTTCTTTGTTTTTTTCTTTTGCTTATGTACATAACCTTCCCCCACACTTGATTTCTGCAATATGTTTGATCAAAAGGGATTCCCTCTAAGTCATGCTCCACTATACTTTAAGAACAAGGGTATGGATAGTCCTATTCTAGGCTAGGTGGGGATAATGTGGCTAACAACGAAAATAAGCTAAATAAGTCTCAAAGGGGTTAAACCTACAAAACAAATGCATGGGATGAAGGCTTTTTGGCTCTGGTGGTAACTACTAAACAACTTCACCTTGTTATATGCTATGCATTCAATTTTAAGCTTTGAATGAAACGGGCATGAGTTCTAGTATTTGGAACTAAAGTGATAAAACGCATTCTAAGTAGCAACCAAGCAAAGAATAATGAGATCATGCAACGACTTTAGAAAACAAGAAATCACAAATTAATAACTCTCCAAATAAAGTTTAGGCTTAAGTCTCTTAGGGTTGTAGTATTAGTTTGAGTTCCTTCCTTCAAGCATGTTACAAAAACTGATTTTTTTTCCTTTGTGATTACATGTGAATTCGTAAACGACAACTATAACCAAGCATAAACCAAAGAGCATATCAAACTTCCATTCATGTTTGTAATTTTCTTTAACAATCATGTAATTAAAAACTAAATCCTCATCATTGTGTTGGAAGGTATCCTAAGACAAACACACAAAAACGACTCTTTTTGGGGTTTTTAAAACATTTTCTAATTATTTTTCAAATTTTTGTATTTTTCTTTCTAAACACACTAAAACAGTTCAAAACACACTAAAAACACTTAAAACAGTGAGAAACAACTCTAGTAGTGTTAGGTGATAAAATTCCACGAAAATCATGCAAACCCCCCCCCCCCCCCACACTTAAACCAAGCATTGTCCTCAATGTTTCAAACATAGACTAACATGCAAGCAAACAACACAACTAACAAACATATGGGTTTAAGAACGCAAATATGGGTATGGAGCTCGAATTCTTTAATTTCCTCGTATGAACACATGGGTTGCCTCCTAAGAAGCACTTGCTTTAACGTCTTCCAGCCAGACGATACCTCCATTTAAGCTCCATTGTAGTCCAAGGCATAAAGGGGTACATCCTCCACGACATGCTCCTCACAATTCTCGTGCACTGGATCTATGAATGGCAAGGGGTAGTGATCCTTCCTGATTGTGGCGTTAAGCTTCCTAAAGTCAATGTAAAGTGTCCCACCACCTTGAATTTGATTGGATACCTGCACCAAAGATGGTAACAACCTATTAGTTGAAATGGGAATTGGAATAGGAATATGTGGCTCACCAATGTATTGCAATGAAGGTTCAAAAGTGGCAGCACTATCAACAAATGCATGAGAGGTGCTCTCGGCTAGATTGCTAGCTAATCTCGTCCAAGGGGGCCGGCCTCTTAGAGGGAAAAGGAGAGCATTGTGTTCTTATCCTTTCCCCAAAAGAAAACCCTAAGGATGAAATGGCTATAAAGTTGCCTTTATACCACCTCACAATGGAGTGGCAAACTTGCAATTAAAGCAAGTTCACTACCCTCCTTTATTTGGCTGGCCTTAAGGGTTTATTGGGCTTTTAAGCCCTTTGTTTATTCAAGTTGTCATACAAGTTGAGTTAATGGGCTTGACATTCAAATCCCATTGGGCCTTGCGGCCCAAAACTAACCTGAGGTTTTTAACGAACTTTATTCGTTTGATTAATTAACATATTAATTAATCCTTGCCATAAATAATTAGACCATTTAATTATCCTTACTCATCTCCGTTGTTTTTTCAATCTCTACCTTACACGGTGTACGATCCATTAGGTTCTTTTTAGCGAGGCAGTGGGCGATTAAAACTCTTTCAAATCGATTGTGAATTGAAACTTACTTTCAATTCTCCCTTTAGTGATTATACATGTTTAGGGCTTCCACAAACCACGAGTGACACCTAGCAGTATGTCATGGTTACCCAAGCTAATCAGAAGAGGTGGATAACCTATTCAGTTTAGGATTACAATGCAATACGGTCTTTCTTTAATACAATACTCTTGACCACATTGTTCATTAATAAAGAACAATGTTTTGTCAAACAAAACATTCATCCATCTCTCACAGTGACGGAATTAAGTTCCTTAAAATTGGAATGTAAAGACAATCTTTGGTTTTTCCAATTTCTTTGGTAGTTCATATGAGGAAGTAAGTACGATCTGCTTTCGCAGAGATCTACATTTGATTCACGTTCCGAATGTGAAGTACTTTCTCTTCTCTCATTAATCTTCTACTTCTTATTAGCCACACTTTTACAACGATTGTAAAACATAGTTACTAATACGGAATCAAGCATTCAAGTAGAAGAACCAACTGTTTTGAACTTTTCAAGAACAATTTACAACACCTTCGAAAGGTGTGTTCTTGACACTTGCAAGACATTTCTTGCAAATACCCCTTCCAATGTCCATCCTTTCATAAAGAAAGTTTGT